CACTTCCTCTCCATAGTTACCTCTTCCACCTAATGTAAATGTTCAGCTCACATGCCTGTCTTTTGTTTGGCAGGAAGCCACAGGTGTGGGTTTAATTTCAGACCTGAAGGGCAGCTAGGGGCCAAGTCTCAGGGGGTCCACCAGTCTCTATCAGACCAACAAACCTGCCCCCCACCTTTTTTTATGATTTTGAGTTTTGTTCCACATTGTTCTCCCACTCTATCCAGGATCTCTTACATATATCCCCCTCCTAGTGGTTGACAGTGGTAGCCAGGCACCATCTAGTTCTTCTGGTAACCTAATTGTATAGGCTGAGGATTGCACGGTGTACCAGTCACTTGGACTAATTGTTTCCATGCATCTTTGGTTTTCTTCATTCATCTTTGCTCTGGACTAGAGACCCATGGTTGTATCTAGGTGGCTGTCTGCAAGCTTTTAAGATCCCCAGACACTACTTGCCAAAGTAGGATGTGGAATAATGTTTTTGTGTAGTATGTTATGCCAATTGATCTTGATGTCCCCTGCAACCATGGTCCTGAGCCCACAGGTCCAACTACTTGCTCCCTCTGGGTAGCTAGCTGTGGCCAAGAAATGACTACAACTTTATCCCCTGTCAGCTTTACTATATACCTGGAAATTTTTACAGGACATACAAATACACTTGTAGAAACATTGTCTACCAACCCTATACATGGTCATGGGCACACTTCCCCCTGCATAATCATTCAGCCTGTACACCCAACTATCCACGCATAGATCAATGTTTGCCATCACTGAAAACACAGTGCTGTATGTACAGAAGGGTTCATCTTTGCTGTCTGTACCTCCCATGCACCTCTGTCTGTCTTCCTCTTCCTCATTGCCACTGTGTTGATCACTCACATTTGGTACATTGCCCTTCCCTTCACCCAAATCAATACTTGTCTCTACCTATCTAGCAGTGTTTCCTCCTGTACCCTTCCATCCCTGGTAATCAACAAAGAAAATTTCCTTCCATGTATAAACCTTTCCTTCACTTTTTACAGTAACAGACTAGTAGAATATTTATCTTTCTGTGATTGCCTTATTTCACTTAGCATAATGTCCTCCAAGTTCATCCATGTTCTGCAGTGTTTTGCAGTTTCTACATTATTCTTTAGGGTTGCATAGTATTCCATTGCGTGTATGTACCAGTTTGTTTATCTACTCTTCTGTTGATCGGATCTTTTGGTTTCTTGCATTAGTGTTTTATAGAAGTGTTTATGTCCCTAGTTAGATTTATTCCCAGGTATTTTATCTTTTCAGAGTTTATTGTATATGGAATTGTTTTAGAGTTCCTTTTTAGAGTTCTCTGTAGAGGAATCCAACTGATTTTTATATGCTGATCTTGTATTCTGTCACTTTGCTGAATCCTTCTATTAATTCCAGTAGCTTTCTTGCAGAATCTCTGGGGTTTTCTCTATCATCTGTGAATAGGGATAATTTTACCAGTTTGGATGTCCTATGATGTAGATTCTGATTCAGTATATCTGGAGTCTCAGCAAGGGGTTGAACTTGAAAAAAGAGGTTCAAAGTCTAGTTTCCAACTGACTGTTAGTTGTCCTTGTTAATTCCAACTCTTGGCAACACCATGTGATTAACGTCACTTTAATAAATATTAATATGGGACACAAGGAGCCCTGGTAGTGCAATGGTTAAGCACTTGCCCACTAACCAAAAGATCAGTAGTTTAAACCCACCAGCTGTTAACCGGGAGAAAGAAGTAGTAATCTGCTTCCATAAAGATTACAGCCTTGGAAACCCTATGGAGCAGTTCTACCCTGTCCTATAGGGTCACTATGAGTTGGAATTGGCTTGATAGCAACAGGTTTAGTTTCTTTTGTTTTAATATTAGAAACTTAGGAAACTTCATTAATTGAGTATCATGGTAAAGAGAGAAATCATTTTTGGTGCTGCTTCATTCCTTAATAAAAGCACTTAAATTTTTTTTTCCTCCAAAATGGTGATGCACGGATGTCAGAGTAGAACTGTATACAAATGGCTAATTCTTAGAAGTGAAGCATCTGGCTTCTCTTCTAAGGCACCTTATTGTTGTTGTTGTTATGTGCCATCGAGTCGGACCTGACTTATAGCGACCCCTCCTTGGGTTTCTGAGGCAATATCACTATGGAAATAGATTGCCCCATCTTCCTTCCGATCTAAGGCACCTGGGGTGAACTCAATCCTTCAGTCCTTCAGTTGACAGCCAAGTATATTAAGTATTTGCACCATCCAGGGATACCATATATATATATATATATATATATATATATATATATATATATATATCATATCATATTGCATGTATCATATCATATTGTTATCGTTAGTTGCCATTGAGTCAATTCCAACTCAAGATAACCCCACGTGTGCAGAGTAGAACTGCTTCACAGGGTTTTCAAGGCTGTGACTTTTCAGCAGCAAATCACTACACCTATCTTCTGAGGCATCTCTGGATGACTTCAAATTGCCAACCTTTAGGTTCGTAATCAAGTCCTTAACTGTTTGTGCCACTCAGGGATTCCCTATATTATTTATGTACAGTTAGGCTCTGGATTAGGAATGAGTTCCTTTCCTAAATCTGCTTTAAGTTGAATTTTGTACATAAGTCAGAATTAGGCATGATTTGTATTTAATGTCTAACTGACATTAAATTAGTCAAACATTTGTCATGGTATACAGTATACCTTTCTATCCATAAAATATGTTAACATAATGTTGTTATTTGCCATCGAGTCGGACCCAACTCATAGCGACCCCTCCTTGGGTTTCTGAGGCAGTATCACTACGGAAGTAGATTGCCCCATCTTCCTTCTGAGGAGTGGATGGTGGGTTTGAACCACCAGCCTTCTGGTTAGCAGTCAAGTGCCTTAGGCACTATGCTACCAGAGCTCCCTCAAAAATACTGTATGATACTAAAAATGAAGCAAATAAGTGAAAGTATTAGGAACTTTTTTAAAAAATACTGTCTCTTGCAATGTTAGAATGTTTCAAAGAAAAGGGAACAGCCAAGGGGCCATCAAACAATTTCTTCATATTTGGGAAGTCAAGTAAAGCAGTTAGTTTTGTACATTCTTTTGAAGCAAAGAATTTATTAGTTTAAACCTTTACATTCTTAAGTAAAATGTGAAATACCTCAAAATCATGCTTGTCACTAGAAAGCTCTTTCCATTCCTTCCTACCGGAGCCCTCTGTTGCCACATAACTACTGAAAGATATAATTTGACTGAACACCAAGAGTACATTTTATGTATGCTGATGTCCTTACTGTTTTATTTTTTAAAAACAGTACCTTAACCTAATCCTTACTTTTAGTCCATTTTCAAACACAGCAATTCAGTCCTAAATTTAGTGGTATCTGCATACATTTCAGTACTGCCAACAATTAATTGTTCCATTTTTAACTTATAGCTCCATGTCAAGACTTTGCTTTTATGTATTTATACATAATAATGGGAGCTCTGGCGGCATAGTGCCTAAGGCATTTGACTGCTAACCAGAAGGCTGGTGGTTCAAACCCACCAGCCACTCCTCAGAAGGATGGGGCAATCTACTTCCATAAAGATACTGCCTGGAAAACCCAAGGAGGGGTTGCTATGAGTGGAATCAACTGAACAGCAGTGAGTTTGGGTTTGTTTGTTTTTTTTTTTTTGGAATGTGAGAATATATCAAAGAATATATGGCAGTGTCTAAAGAGTGGAAAAACCTGGGAGGAGAAAAGAGGAAAGGAAGCCAAAGCAGTAGGGCTATGGGGGGAAGGGGGCAAAGATAGTTAATTAGAGGAAAATGAAAGAATTAATTCATACCCTACATGTTTCCTCTATGTAACCATTATACTAAATATCTTTTCGATTAGTCATGTTGCTTTGAGTCTTTTCCATGTTTCCTCTAGACAACTGCCAATGTTCGCATGGTCTCTGATGAATAAACATGCTGTGACTTGCTCCTAAGGAAACGCCTGTCATGTTCCAGGGAAAAATGACTTTTACACTCTTCAATCAGGAAAACTGCATGGCTTTCATTCATTAGATACAAAGTCAAATTTTTCCTTAACTTGTCTATTTCTAGCATATTCATATTCTTTTCAGAGCATTTCTATGTTCACATTAAGGATTAAAGAAAAGAAATTCTGAATTGTAACAACTGCAGGAAAAAGTTATCCTACATCAAAGGGATTTCCCACCTCAAAACTCAACTAACAACTCATGTTACTCCTCTGTTTACCAAGACGAAGGTTATCTTCATGTTTTCCCTCATCTCTTGCAGAACTACCTGTTCTCATTACTGTTTACCCAAACGCTCAGTACAATGATTATTAGCATAGTTGGCAAGAAGACATGCTTCATTTAATATTAACTCACCATGTGACAGCCCCTTCCCCTCCAATCTCTCCTCAAACACATGAGGATACAAAGAAGAGTATAGTTCTTTGCAGTCTGACTTTGCTCTTGCCTTTGGCATCAGCCATTGGCCACAGGCACACACACCCCCAGTCAGAGGCGCGCACCCTGCCCGGTCCCGGAACTGTCATTCGAGCTGACAGCTGGCACACCCTCCCGTGGACCTCCACTCGCTCGCAGAAAGCCCCTTCCAATACAGTCACTCCGATATCGCTCCTCTGTCTGGGCCTCAGCCTTCGCCAAGGAAACTCTTTCTCCTTCACAGGAGTTCGCTTACAGGTATCGCCCTCCGCTCCTCCAGAGCCTCAACAAGGGGCCCTTTGTTAAGATTTTTGCTTTTGGACTCCCCACCCAATTCGTCGCATTCAGCTGGCCTCCTGCAACCTAGCGCGGCCCCAGTACAAAAGCACTCTAAACCAGATTCCCCACACCAGGCGGCCTCCAAGGAGGCAACCTCCTCGCCTGCGTGTTGGATGGCTAGTAAGTCAGGCCGCTAGCAGGCAGCAAGTTGCCAACTAGGTAAACTGGTGGAAGTCTCGCTGGCTTCGCCCTTCCAGTGACCGTGCGAGGCTCCGGGCTTACCCTGCGGGAGCGGTGGATGTCAGGGGCGCTGCCGGGGCGTCCTCCGCGCGCGGGGTTTGGCCGTCCATGGTCCTGCGGTGCGCTGCGCGGGCTCCAGCTCCAAGTCGGCGCGTCACTGCTGGCGTGGGAGAGGCCGGCCGGTCAGGGCGGGACGCGCGCCCTTCCGAGGCCAGAGTGGGGCTGGCTACAGGTCAAGAGCCCGCCCGAGCCACCCAAGCCCTGGGCTGGCCCGCCTCCCGGGTGCACTTCCACCTGCGGGACCCGGCTCCTTGCCCGCAGGCGCCGCCGCCGCAGGGAGCGGCGGCTGCAGGAGGCGGTGCTGCAGCCCCCGCCCCGCGGAGTTCACTGGGTAGCCATTTGGCGCCTCTGGGGGAGGGAGAGGACCTGGCCTGGTTGGAAGGCGAAGGAGCTGGGCAAGGCGCGGAGACACGACCGCCACGCCGGCAGCTCACCGCCCAGCTCCTTCGCCGAGTTTGCACAAACAAAACGCCCTGGGGAAACTTTACCCGAAGAAAAGTTCGGAGTGCTAATCTCTCTTTTCCCAGCCAGGGCTCCTACTTTCTTTTCCAAAGGACACAGTGGCTCGCCTGTTCTCTCCCGCCCTCTCCCACTCTTCCCTCCCCCGTCCTGTGCGCTTGCAGTTGGGCTCTCAAGCCAGGACTTGAAAGGACGAGAAAGCGGCAGCCTAGCAGAGGCTCAGCCCTGTCGCGGGCCGGGCCGAGTCAGCGCCTCCTCCTGCCCGCGGGCGGGGTGCCCTCGCGCTCTCTGGGTGCTACGGGGCCGCTCCCCAAACTCGTACACTTACCCTGCCCCATTTCCCTGCCCAGGGCCGAGGATCTCGCCGCCACCTCCGCCGACCTGCCACCCGAAAGTGGGAACAAGTTTCGGCGGCATTGGGGCGAGAGAGGCAACGAGCCGGAGAGAGGGATGGGGCGGGGGTGGGCGAGGACCGAGTTGGAATTTCCTTCCCCCAGGGCTTGGAGTCTTTGGGGTCCAGCTGGGGAAACCTAACAGAAAGGAAGCTTGTTGGCGGAGAGTTCCCATTCCCCCCACTAGGGCGTTGCTTCAGGAAAGCTGGCGCGCCCGAGTGAGACAGGTGGGGGGTTGGGGGCGGAGCAAAGAAGATTACCTGCCCTGCCAGGAGGAGAGGAGCGGCGCGGACTTGGGCCGCCACGGAAGTTTGGAGAAAACCCCACAGAACAAGGTTTCAGCTTGCTCTCCTCCAGCAGTATGGTCTTCCACGTTCAGATCTTTTTTCCTTTTCTTTTTTTAACTTGACCTCTGAGGCTGCTACTTGATAAGTGCACCTGTGACACTGTGGTCTTTCAAACGGGTGGCAGGTTTAAGCTTGCCGGGTCTTTAGAGGTATAATTTTTTTTTCTTTTTAAGCCCATAGCAGCTGTGACATGAAGTCTGGACAATATTATGTCTAATGAGAATCTGTAAACCAACAATTGAACGATAAATCTAATTCCCCTTTTCTCTTGGAGGACCTAGCAGGGTGCTTGTTTGTATGTTTTAGTTCCCATGTGCTTTTCCTTTAGCTGATTCTTGACACCTGGGAAATACGTATATTTGTATATCCTGTGTATATAGCATCAGTTGCTTTAAGATGCAACCCATTTTGATCAGTCCTAAAGCTTGCTTTCAGAAAATAACTTGAAATTAATTCAAAAAATAATTTTAAAATACAGCTTAAAAGTAAATATATTTGGAATAATCTAATGGAAAGGGGTTACATGAACATCCTGAAAGGAGCCTCTACTATAATAATAGCATCAAGCAACAAAATTGTAGGCACTTCACCTACTAATAACATTTCGTAGGTGTTAAAAATTAAATTGATATATGGAAGCAATGCAACCAAAAATATCACTGATAATAGCTAACATAGTAAATACCTAGTAATATGTCCTTGGTCTATTATAAGTTGTTGTTGTTGTTGTTGTTTGCCGTCGAGTTAAGTATTCCTTTCTGTGCATATTTACATAGAGAAACAAAATACGAGACTTATTTGAATCATGATATTGGAATCACATCAGAAAAAGTTGCTTTTAAAAGTTGCTGATATTAAGAGCAATCAATTAATTCATTTAAATGCCTCTGAATTGTATTCTTTAAGCAACAACCAGGTTAAACAATTTCATGTATCAGTTATTCTTTTAAATGACTGGCTGTTACAGTTTTTTGCACAGACAACGAAGCAAACAATGAGTAAGAGTGAAATCACAGTCTATAACTTTCAGTCACAACATCCAGACTAAAACTTTAATTTCAGTATTAGTTGAAATTAGTCTAACTGCTGTGGCAGAGGCTGAGACCTACAAAAGAATTTGCACACGAATAAATAAACTTCTGTTGGGAAAAGCCACTAAAATATTGGTATGACTTGTTGCCCAGAATTATTTAGTGTACTTTATGTATTGTTGTTTTGTTAGGTGTTTTCCAGTTGGTACTGACTCATAGTATTCCTATGTACAATCGAACGAAACACCGCCCTGCCTTGTGCCATCCTCACAACCTTTGCTATGTTTGAGCCCATCATTGCACCCACTGTGTCAACCTGTCTCAGTGAGGGTCTTCCCCTTTTTCGATAGTGCCTAAGGCACTTGACTGCTAACCAGAAGGCTGGTGGTTCAAACCCACCAGCTACTCCTCGGAAGGAAGGTTGGGCAATCTACTTTCGTAGTGATACTGCCTCGGAAACCCAAGGAGGGGTCGCTATGAGTCGGGGGCCGACTTGACAGCATATTACAACAACAACAACATATTTACCAAGCATGATATCCTTCTCCAGAGACTGGTCCCTTCTACCAACATGATCAAAGTACAAGAAACGAAGTCTGGCCATTTTTGCTTCTAAGGAGCATTCTGGCTGTGCTTTCAAGACAGATTTGTCCATTTTTCTGGAAGTCCATGGTATTTTCAGTATTACTCACCAACACCACAATTCAAATGTATCAATTATTCACTTTTCCTTATATTTCCCCTTTCCCATGCTGTGAGGCTACTGGAAATACCAAGGCTTGGGTGAGGCTCAACTTAGTCTTCAAAGGGACACCTTTGCTCTTTGACACTTTAATGAGATCTTATGCAGAAGCTTTGCCCAGTCCAATACATCATCTGATTTCTTGACTGCTATTCCCATGGGTATTGATTGTAGATCGAAACAAAATAAAACCCCTGACAACTTTCCATTTATTGTGATGACCTTAAGTATAGTCATATATATAAATAAATTTCAGAATCAACAGTAGGACTTGGTATTCTCATTTGTTACTAAACTATTCCCACTGCTCGTTACATACTTCATTAGCCAAACCCACCAGCCACTCCTCGGAAGGAAGGTTGGGCAATCCTACTGCCGTAGTGATACTGCCTCGGTAACCCAAGGAGGGGTCGCTATGAGTTGGGACTGACTCGACGGCAAATAACAACAACAACAACAATATATATTTTTTACATGGTGGAAAATCCCTCTTCCCCATTGTGGTAGTTCAGTTTGTGTGTCAACTTGGCTGGGCATGGTTGAGTGGCTGGGCAGCTGGTGGTAGTTAATCCCATGAGGAGACTGGCAATCAACTCCACGGTGGGATCTACCACAAGCAGCTGGTTAGCTGCCTTTGGGTATGTGGTCTACTTCCTATATATAAGGAGAAGCCTTTGGGAATGGTCTCTAGCCTATGGCACGCTTAGACCCTGCATGTAGCCATGTCATTGCTCAGCAGCCTGCTATGTCTGCCTGTCTTGGGACTTACAATGGACTTAAGTTAATGGCCTGCTGTACGATTTGGTAATATCAGGACTGTGCCTTTTTACTTGTCAACCTTGGGGCTTCTCAACCTCAGCAAATAGGAGATGTCTGAGTGAAGAAACGCCTCTAGCTCCAGTGTGCGTGGAGCAGGAGGCAGAGCTGGACCCCAAGGTTGAGGGGCTTTCACCCAGCTCCTAGAGCCTGGCACTTTGAACTTGGACTTAAAGCCTCCAAATTGTAAGAATAAACTCATGTTTGTTAAGGCCATCCCATTTGTGGTACATTTCTCATCA